CTTTTAACCCCTGGCCCAAGCCCACCTGGCCCGACCTAAAGATCCTGCCAGCAACCTGTGATGTGATCCCTAGCCAAACCCTGTGATATGACTGTTCCATGAGCCCACCACCTGTGATGACTGTTCCATGACCACCAAACCTGTGTGTTTTCCCTGAGCCCACAACCTGATATGACTGTTCCAGACCAAAGCTGTGTGACTGTTCCATGAGCCCACTACCTGTGATAGACTGTTCCATGAGCCCAACCTGGAAAACTGTTCCATGAGCCCAGAACCTGTGATATGACTGTTCCATGAGCCCACCAACCTGTGATATGACTGTTCCATGAGCCCAGCAACCTGTGATATGACTGTTCCATGAGCCCAGCAACCTGTGATATGACTGTTCCATGAGCCCAGCAACCTGTAATGCTGTTCCATGAGCCCACCAACCTGTGAGTGGTTTGAGCCCACAACTGTGATGTGACTGTTCCGCCCACCAACCTTGTATGACTTTCCATGAGCCCACCACCTGTGATATGATGTTCCATGAGCCCAACCTGGATGACTGTTCCATGAGCCCAGCACCTGGATAGCTGTTCATGAGCCCACAACCTGTGAATGACGTTCCATGAGCACAGCAACCTTGATATGACTGTTCCATGAGCCCAAGCTACTGGATATGGTTCCATGAGCCCACCTTGAATGACTTCCATGACAGAACCTGTGATATACTTCCATGGCCAGCAACCTGTGATAACTGTTCCATGAGCCCAGAACCTGTGTATGTGTTCCATGAGCCCGCAACCTGTGATATTGAACTGTTCCATGACCCAGCAATGTGATTGACTGTTCATGAGCCAGCAACGTGATTATGCTGTTCATGAGCCCACCAACCTGATACTGACTGTCCATGAGCCCACCAACCTGTGAATGTACTGTTCCATGAGCCCCCAACCTGTGATATGAGTTCCATAGCCCAGCAACCTTTTGTGATGTCTTAAGCCACCAACCTGTGATATGACTGTTCCATGAGCCCAGCAACCTGTGATATGACTGTTCCATGAGCCCAGCAACCTGATTAGTGTTCATGAGCCCACAACCTGTGATATGACTGTTCCTGAGCCCAGCAAATGTGATGACTGTTCCATAGCCCCAACCTTTATGACTTTCCATAGCCCACCAACCTGTGATATGACTGTTCCATGAGCCCAGCAACCTGTGATATGACTGTTCCATGAGCCCAGCAACCTGTGATATGACTGTTCCATGAGCCCAGCAACCTGTGATATGACTGTTCCATGAGCCCAGCCACCTGTGATATCGTTCCATGCCCAGCAACGCTTGAGACTGTTGAGCCAGCAACTGTGATAATGACTGTTCCATGAGCCCACCAAAACTGTATGACTGTTCATGACCCAGCAATGTTATGACTGTTTCCCTGAGCCCAGCAACCTGGATATGACTGTTCCATGACCCAGCAACCTGTGATTGACTGTCCATGAGCCCAGCAACCTTTTGAGTTGATGATCCATGAGCCCAGACCTTTGAATGACTGTTCCTCAACCACTGTGAATGTTCCAGCCCAGAACCTGTGAAAAGTGTTCCATGAGCCCAGCAACCTGTGATATGACTGTTCCATGAGCCCCAACCTGTGATATGACTGTTCCATGAGCCCAACCGTGATGCTGTTCCATGAGCCCAGAACTTGGGAGAACCTGTTTATGCCAAACCGCAACCTGTTTGTGTTCCATGAGCCCAGCTACTGTGATATGACTGTTCCAGAGCCCAGCAACCTTGAAAGATCCATGAGCCCACAAACCTGTGATGGCCAGCTACCTGGACTGACTCCTGTTCTACCAACCCCTGTGATAGACTTTCCATGAGCCCAGCAACCTGTGATATGACTGTTCCATGAGCCCAGCAACCTGTGATATGACTGTTCCATGAGCCCAGCAACCTGTGATATGACTGTTCCATGAGCCCACCAACCTGTGATGTGACTGTTCCATGAGCCCAGCAACCTGTGATGTGACTGTTCCATGAGCCCACCACCTGTGATATGACTGTTCCATGACCCAGCAACCTGTGTATGACTGTTCCATGAGCAGCAACCTGTGATATTGTTCCATAGCCCGCACCTGTGATATGACTGTTCCATGGCCCACCACCTGTGATTTGTACTGTTCCATGACCACCTGTGATAGCTTTCCATGAGACCCAGCACCTGTGATATGACTGTCCGAGCCCACAACCTGTGATATGATGTTCCACCAGCCAACCTTTTGTGACTGTTCCATGCCCCCAACCTGTGATGACTGTTCCAGCCCAGCAACCTGGATGAGACGTTCCATGAGCCCAGAACCTGTGATATGGTTCAGACCCAGCATGTGATAGCTGTTCCTGCCCAAACTTGTGATATTGTTCCATAGCCAGCAACCTGTGATATGACTGTTCAATCCAAACATTGTGATATGACTGTTCCATGACCCACAACTTATATTTCCATGAGCCCGCCCTGTGATTAAGTTCCATGAGCCCAGAACCTGGATATGACTTCCAAACCCAGAACGTTGAATGACTGTTCCATAGCCCAAATGATTCCATGACCCAGCAACCTGGATATGCTTTCCATGGCCCACAACCTGGATGATGACTTTCCATGAGCCCCAACCTGTGATGACGTTTCCATGAGCCCCCAACCTGGGTGACTGTTCCATACCCACCTGTATTTCCAGGCCCCAACTGTGATGTGACTGTTCCATGAGCCCACAACTGTGATTGACTGTCCATGAGCCCACCAACCTTAGGAGGTCTGAGCCCAATGTTTGACTTTTCAGACCGTCCGTTTGTAATTTCCGTTATGGCCTCCCGTGATATGAAGTTTTCATAGCAAACCAAACCTGTATAAAAAAAGTTTTAGACAGAATGAAGTGTTCCAGAGCCAAAATCTTTCAATGGCGTCCAAGTGAATCTGTGAAACTTCCAGAGCCCAGAACCTATATGATTTCAAAGCAGCAACATGT